ATAGATGTTATATTACAGTGGTTTTCTAAATATGCTCATCAAGTTTTAATGTTTACAGAGGTAACTTGGACTAAGGGAGATTGACTTGAAAGGTCACAGATGGTGAAGTTCCAAGCTTCCCACTTCTGTAGTCAACCACAACAGTCTTATCTGTCTAAGATACATATTAGGGATCTATGAAAACATTTTGAAAATAGGTTTTCATTGCTAAAAACTTATAAAAATCACAATGTAGACTGATGTACATGACTGACTGTAAATACAATGGGACTTTGGGCAAAAAGAATCTCTGTGAGCTGGAGTGGAATTAGGGTTACACTAAATTAAAAGGTTATTTCACTCTTAATCTGATTGCAAAATCCCCAGGGACAAGGGCTGTAGGCACCATTACTTTTTAATCCCCTTAGTGTCTCACACAAGGTAAGCGTTTATAAATATCTATCATCAGAGCTATGAAAGGAAATATGGTCAGATAAGCCTGTGGGACCAGATTATAGTGAGTTTTCTTTCTTTTTTTTTTTTTTTTCCTCACCCGAGGACATTTTTCCATTTTTTGTTCAGACAGAGCGGGAGGGAGAGAGAGGAAGAGAGAGAGGGAGAAACATCGATGTGAAGGGACACATTGAGTGGCTGCCACCCACACGACCAACCAGGGCTGGGGACAAACTGCAACCGAGGTACGCGCCCTCAGCGGGAACCGAACCCGGGCCTCTCTGTACCGCAGGCCGATGCTCCAACCGCTGAGCCAAACCAGCCAGGGCTCTCTTCTTTTTTTTTTTTTTTTTTTTTTGATATTTTGTTCAGATAGAGTGGGAGAGAGAGAGAGAAACATCGATGTGAGAGAGACACATTGACTGGTTGCCACCCTCACAACCCAACCAGGGCCGGGGACAAACTGCAACCGAGGTACATGCCCTTAGCAGGAACCGAACCTGGGTCTCTCTGGACCGCAGGCCGACGCTCTAACCGCTGAGCCAAACCAGCCAGGGCTATAGTGAGTTTTGAAGTCTAAAATAGGATATAAGTAAATAAAGTGATTAAACTTACTATGAAAAAAAATTCATCATACAAAGTTTAATAGCAGGTGGTAAGAATTATAGCAGAAAGACAAGCATTAAGAACACCAGCCAAAAAAAAAAAAAGAACACCAGCCAGAAAGCTACTGATGTTTTGGTCAATTCAGTCTTTAAGAAGTCCTCACTTGTAGGTATTTGTTTGATTTGGGGGAATTAAAAGGATTAAATACAATTCTTGCCTTCAAAGAGCTTCGGGTATGCACAAAAAGCTTAGAGAGAATGAGTAGGTGATTTTAAGGAGGGCCAAGAGATGGAAAAGCAACTCTAGACCTTCTAGTTTGAACTTTTCTGAAATACCTTAAGAATTTAAAAAAGGAAAAGAGGCAAGTCCATATGGCCACGGCCAAGTACAAAGTTTAAAAACTGAGTTATTATAATATATATGAGAATAGTGTTATCTTTAAGGAGGTGGAATGAGGGAACCTTCTTGGGGTGTTAGAAATGCCTTGATCTAGGTGTTGGGTTTCATGGATGTATTAATCAATGTGATTTATATATGTTTTAGAAATTGCTATATATTTTTTAAAAGTACCTTGTTATGATATTTGGGACAACTTTCTGGGGACTGATCCTTAGACTTATAATTTATACTTAAAATTCCTCCTTGAACATAATAATTTAAACATTTTATAACATAAAAATAAAGTCATATTTACATTTGCTTGTTTAATGACATATCATCAGCTTTTAGTTTTTGAGGTAACTACACTTAAGAAGCTTCCCTGTGGTTACAAACGTTTCCATCCTGTGATTTCCTTCCTCACCTTCTAAATGTCGAGTGCAAGCTGTTCTGCTAAGGCGGGAAAAACCAGCTCCTTGATATCTCCAGGCAACACTATCCCCAGTACTTGACAAACTATACTACTGCAGGGAGTTCAGTCTATCCCTTTGGAGCAAGTGTTCCCATTTTGTGTCATGCCAGCATCACTGAAAAGTAGTATAGAAAGTTCTTTTTTGCTGAGTACAAAAGAAGTACAGAAAGTTCACCCTGAGGTTGTCACCAGATAATTTCTGATTTCTTCACTGAGTAATATTCCCTCATTTCATAGGAAAAAAAGAAAGATAATTTTATCCTGTTACAAAACATAATAACAGCTTAGGCAGCATGTTTATTTTTATTTCTTTATAGATTTTAGAGAGAGAGATGGAAACATCAATGAGAGGGAACATCGATTGGCCGCCTCCTGCATGCCTCCGACTGAGGATCTGGCTCACAACCTGGGCATGTGCCCTGACCAGGAATTGAACTGGTGATCTCTTGGTGCATGGGTCGATGCTCAACCACTGAGCCACACCGGCCGGGCTAGGCAGCATGTTTATTAACTAATCTAATATAATTAACACATGGAAGAAGAAATCTCTTGGGTTTAAAAATAGCTTTATTTAGCATACCAAAAACATAGAAACAGAAGAAAAACCTTATCTAGCATAAACATAAAAATAGTTAAATACCATAATTTAATGTAAACCAAGTGTTTAAAAAATGTGAAATATAATAAAATACATGCTATTTACACAGCCAAGTTAAAGCAACCTCCACAGTTGTCAGATCAGATCATCAATCTTGGAGTCATAATTAACAATGAATCAAACACAGCATCACTATTTCTATTGTTCAATAGGAAACAAGAAATTTAATTTATTTTAAACATTCATTGTGACATTTAAAGTAGAGAGGAAGATAGTACCCCTTCTAGGATTCCAGATACAACTACTGCATGTGGAGGTTTGGGACCCATTCCACTGGAAGACCTACCATAAAGCCCATTCTTTCACTTAAATGCAAACTGGTTGATTAGTTTAGTTACTGCTTAAGAAAGGTACTAAATATATCTGCAAAAATAAACCTTTATTAAAAATGATCAAAGGGGAGTGTAATATCAACCATGTAAGAAAGGCAAAAGCATAAAAATATATATTATTCCAGACAAGCCCCTTTAATTATAACAAATGTTAAGAAACTCAGTTTATAAAACCAGACGGGGTAGCAAAAGGGTTCTAAAAAATGTAAAGCCCAAAGCAAAACCAAACCAAACAAACAAACCTAAGAGAATGCTTCTTGAAGAAAGTGGTATTTTGTTCATCCTGTCATCATGATGCCAATGCTGCCAGGAGACCTGGGGCTGATGCCAGTTACCACTATGGAGTAGAATGCTTTCTTTGACCAACAGTCTAAAAAGCTGTGGTCATTGATTAGTTTAAGCAATTGGCATTTGTTTCAAGGACCAACATTCAGTCATATACTGCAATTCAGGTATCACTAAGAGGCAGCATTAAATCCAATATCAGGAGTTTGAAATGTAAAATAAAGTTGCAAGAATATATACTTAGTAATAGAACATTCTGCTCCTTCGTCTAATCTTGTAATGCTGAAACTTTTGGTGTCCAGACCTCCTTATACTCTTAAAATTTACTGGGGATCTGGATGACAAAGAGCTTTTGTTCATAAAGTTGACATCTATCCATATTTTCCATATTAGAAAATGAAACTAAAAATTTAAAAAGTACTTATTAATTTAAAAATTAAAAAGTCCATTACATGTTAACATGATAGCTATATTTTCTAAAACAGAAAAATGATTTGTGGGAAGATGACATTATTTTACATTTTCAACTGTTAGAGTTAGAATGAAAAGACAAATAATGTCTTTGTATTATTATGGAAATAGTTTTGATCTCACAGATCACCTGAAAACATCTCAAGGACCCCCAGAACTTCATGGGCCACACTTTTGAAAACTGCTGGTTTAACCTAAAACCTGATATTGACTTAAAACATCTACACAAAAGGAGCCTTAATTTTCATTTTAAAATAAACCAAAATATCCACACAAGTCACTTTACCAAACACTTAAACTTTCAGCTTTAAGTAGAAGCCAAAGATCACTATGTACTCATGGTCAAATTAAAAACAATACTGTCATTTCTGCTGACACTGGGATGAAGATTTATTCATTTTTAGCCCACGAAAGCTACAAAACCTATTAACTAAACACACATTTTGGTTCTCTAACATTTACTTAATCCTGTTAGTGCTGAGCTGTCTGTTACTTTAAATTGGCACAGCCTTGGTATAAACCAGAGAATGATAGAAGTTTAACCTTCACACTCACATTAGGAACATGTTAGCCATTTATGGAGCAACCTACTCTATTTCTCACTTGTTAAAACTTTGATAAATTTTAGGGAAACAAGAGGGAGAAAATTCTCCCTTAAGGACAATAAGAACAATGCTATGATCTTACACTTAGATAACTTCACATCTTACAAATTGATTTCATGCACACCATTCATTATATCTTTTGAAGCCATTGGAGAAGGGCAGGACAAATGATTTTACTGCTGTTTCAGAGTTAAGGAATTTGAGAGTCAGATATGGGTCTTTCCCAAGGTACCATAACAAGTATGTTGTTGAAAGGGATTAGAATTCATGTCATCTGACTCCTAGTTCAGGACTCTCCCCAGCACTCCCTCTTCCTTTGGTTCCAGGGCAAGACTGAGGCAGAGGTCAGTGGGGATGGAGGCAGCAGTGTATGACATCTGAAACCTGCATTCCATTGCCTCATCCAACATTTTACCCAGCACCAAGGAGGCTTGGGAGTGGCAGAGACATTTCTCTGAAAGATATAATGAATTTTCCACCAGTACGTACATTATGGATCTTCATACAAAAACAACTGTCTTACTTTTTTTTTCTGAGCCAGTTTATGTGGGTAGGTCATTCACAGCCTGTTCGCTCTGATCCAAGGGAAAAGTAAAAATCCTGCAGTTAAAAAAATTGTATGAGCCCAGCTGGTGTGGCAGCGTCAACCCATGCACAAAGAGATTGCTGGTTCGATTCCTGGTCAGGGCACATGCCCCAGTTGCGGGCTCAATCCCCAGTGGTGGATATACAAGAGGCAGCCAATCGATGTTACTCTCTCATCAATATTTCTCTCTCTCTCAAAAAAAATCAATAAAAAAACATTTAAAAAAATCAGATGAAAATACAAAATGAAATAACAATAATGAGATCTCTGTGAAGCTATTATAACTAATTTATTGTGCACCTGGCACAACAGACTTTTCAATCTTCCTCCACCAACTGGAGAGCAATATAAAAATCACAGTTCTTAATTTAATAGGAAATTGACTTGATCATCTTGAGGTAAAGACTCCAGTCTATACAAAAACGTTAAGAAAATAATTTTAAGAATTTTATTTTAACTAAATTCTTAGGTGCTTGAAGATTCTGTGGTGGCAGGAGAGGGAGTAGATGGTAGAGTGCAAGCCAATGAAACAGCGAGAAGAAAATAATTATTGTCACCAAAGAGCAAAGGAAAAATCTCTGTCCAGTCACTGTCACTAATACACATATCTACTTAAGAAATTATTCTGTTGGCAGGAAATCCTCTCCACCAAGATGTTAATACAAATAGCATGAGACATTCAAAGATATTATGCAAACACTGTTTAACTAGGGGGGGGGGCACAACAAAAAAACTCCCTCCTACAAGACTAGCCAAATGCCAGTAATGACCAATACTTTTCTTGCTATACACTACAAGCAAGTTATTGTTTACTGCACCTTCCATCTTTCTGAAATGTTCTGAAAATCAAGATCGACTACATGCATTTTTTTCCTTTTAAGGTAGTTGAAGAAAATGGTTAACAAATGCCAGTAAAAATTAGAAAGCGTACTAAGTTCATCTTATTTTCAAAACTGAGCAGCATATTGCTATCTATCATACAAATTGATGGTGTCTCCCTCACTCCCAATTTTGTTGAGTAATGTTCTCTTTACAGGTGATTTAGACAGAAGTTAATTGCTTTTTAAGACAGTTGCACATTTGTTGGGCTGATATATATATGCATATATGTATATATGCATGAATATACATACACAAGTATATATAACTCATCTCATCACATGAAGACTTCCACTGTTTTTCCCTCTTCACATATTTCCATTAGCTAAAATGAGCATGGATAATGATTTTATAGTAGGAAACAAAATTAATTGAAATCAAATCAGAAAATGTGAAGTGGTATGCTGTCAGAGTCCAATAAAATAAGTCAACACACATTTATGCAGTGGTAAAGTGCTAGAAAGTTCTTTCATTAGTATTCTGAAATTGATTATAGTAAAAAGAAGTTTGCAGTTTCATTTGATGGTGGTGACCACAGGCACCATAGCAATGGCACTGGCTGAGTTGGAGTTGATGATGTCCTCATACTCCGGGGGTGGGTCTAAATGAGGTTCTGTTTCACTCCTCTGAAGGTTCACCTGGCCAGTGGCTTCCTCATAGGTTGGTGGAGGATCGCAGTTGGACAGGCGAGTAGAGACAGAATCCGAGCGCCCAACTACATATTCTAGAAAGCCTGGCGACATCCCACTGCTATCAAACACTTCGTCTGGTGGGTGAGGCGGAGTGATAATATTAAGGTGCTGAGGGAAAGGGATGTGACCTTCGGTCACTGTCTGTCTGCGAGTTTTGTTTCTTAGGAAGCATCTCCAGATTAGGAAAATGACAAGGAGGATAATAAAGAGGCCAAAGATTAATGGAAAGGTAAGGTAAAATTGAAACCAGTCACTTCCTCTGTTCTTCTCTCCTTGTTGAGCTTTTGTATAGGTGTTCCAAATCTCTTTCTGAAAATAAAAGACAAAATAAATTGAAAATAAGTATGATCAAAATATATGAAATATCAAATGAACAAATGTCTGGGATCTATTAACATAATGAAAAAAATCCAAAACCAGATTTGTCGGTCTGAACGACCCATAGGCTACATTTTCCATGACAAGAAATCACAAATAAAATCATGGTGTTCACTCTAGATCCTTCCTAAAATAGAACACAAGTCTTTCAAAACTTGGAGTTATTTATATTTTCAGCTATGACATTTTTTCTGCTTATAGAATTTTAAAAAATCTTTCAGTTACAGTGGACATACAATATTTTATTAGTTTCAGTTGTATAACATAGTGATTAGACATTTATATAACTTACAAAGTGATCACCCCAATAAATCTGGTACCTATGTGACAACATACCTAGTTATTACAATATTATTGGCTATATTCTCTATGCTGTACATCCCCATAACTGTTTTGTACCTCTTATTCTCTTCACCTTTTTCACCCATCCTCCTCAAACCCCCTCCCATCAATCATCAATTTTTTCTCTATATAGGAGCTTGTTTCTGTCTTGTTTGTTCATTTATTTTGTTTTTTAGATTCCATATATAGTGAAATCCTGAGGTATTTGTCTTTCTCTATCTGACTTATTTCACTTTACATAATACCCTCTAGGTCCATCCATACTGTTTTAAATGGCAAGATTTATTTCTTTTTTATGGCCAATTAATATTCCATTGTATACCAACTATTCTTTATCTATTTGTCCATTGATGGACATTAGGTTGCTTCCCTATCTTGGCTATTGTAAGTAATGGTGCATATATCATTTTAAATTAGTGTTTTATATTTCTTTGGATAAATACTCAGAAGAGGATTTGCTAGACTATATGGTAGTTCTATACTGTTTTCCATAGTGGTTGTAATAATTAACAATCCCACCATCAGCATGTGAGGTCCCTCTTCTCTGCATTCTAAGACTTGTCGTTTTCTTGTCATTCTGATGACAGACATTCTAACAGGTGTGAGGTGATATTACATTGTGTTTTTCATTTGCATTCCCTAGTAACTGGTGATACTGACTTTTTCACTGCCTATTGGTCACGTGCATGTTTTCTTTGTAAAATGTCTATTCAGATCCTCTGCTTTTTTTTTTTTTTTTAATCCTTACTGGAGGATATATTTTCACTGATTTTAAAGAGATGGGGGGGGAGGGACATTAGAGTGAGAAAGAAACATCGACTGGTTGCCTCCCACATACAACTCAACCAGGGACTGAACCCACAACCTAAACATGTGCTCTGAATGGGAATCAAACCTACCACCTTTCAGTGTATGGGATGATGTTCCAACCAACTGAGCCACATTGGCCAGGACTCCTCTGCTCATTTTTCAATCAGGCTTTTTGTTGTTGAGATGCATGAGTTCTTTATATATTTTGGATATTAACCCTTTACTGGATGTATGATTTGCAAATTATCTTTTCCCATTTGCTAGATCGCCTTTGCATTTTATTGATGTTTCCTTTGCTGCGCATAAGCTGTTCAGTTTTATGTAGTGCCATTTATTTTTGCTTTTGTTTCCCTTGCCATAGGAGTCATATTCACAAAAATATTGCTGAGACCAATGTCAAGAAGCTTACTATGTTTTCTTCTAATATTTTATGGTTTTGGCTCTTCTGTTAAAGTCAACACCATGTATTGAAAAGACTTTCCTTTCTCCATTGTATGTTCTATTTGTGTTTGTTTTGTTTATTTATTTATTTTTTATTTATCTTTATTGTTGAATGTATTACAGATGTTCCTCATTTTTCCCCCATTGACCACCTCCTCCCCACTCCCGCACCCCTCCTGCCTTTTCCCACACTGTTGTCTGTGTCCATTGGTTACATATAAGTTTTTTGGTTTATTTCTTCCCACCCCCTAACCCTCTTCCCTTTGAGGTTTGTCAGTCTAGCAACCAATTTGCCGTCTTAATCCCTTCAACCTTTTTCACCCATTCCCCCAACCCCCTTCCCATCTGGCATCCAACAAAATGTTTTCTGTATCTATGAGAATGTTTCTGTTCTGCCTCTTCATTTTGTTTGTAGATTCAATTGTCGATAGATATGTATCCATTGCCATTTTGTTTGTTCATATATTTTATCTTTTTCTTCAAAAAGACCCTTTAACATTTCATATAATAATGGTTTGGTGGTGATGAACTCCTTTAGCTTTTTCTTGTCTGGGAAAGTATATGGCCATCGATTCTAAATGACAGCTTTGCAGGAGAGAGGAATTTTGGTTGTAGGTTCTTGCTTTTCATCACTCTGAATATTTCTTGCCACTCCCTTCTGGCCTGCAAAGATTCTTTTGAGAAATCAGCTGACAGTCTTATGGGAACTCCCTTGTAGGTAACTGCTTTTCTCTTGCTGCTTTTAAGATTCTCTCTTTGTCTTGAACCTTTTGCATTTTGATGATGATGTGTCTTGGTGTGGGCCTCTTGGGGCTCTTGTTTGGGACTCTCTGTGCTTCCTGGACTTGTATGTCTGTTTCCTTCACCAAGTTAGGGAAGTTTTCTACCATTATTGTTTCAATTCGGTTTTCGATTTCTTGTTCTCTCTCTTCTCCTTCTGGCACCCCCAAGATGCGAATGTTGGCACGCTTGAAGTTGTTCCAGAGGCTCCTTACACTATCCTCATTTTTTTTTGGATTCTTTTTATTTTTGCTGTTCTGATTGGGTGTTTTTTGCTTCCTTACATTCCAAATCGATGGTTTGCTTCTTGGATTTACGTACTCTACTATTGAATCTGTGTAAATTATTCTTTATTTCAGTTAATGCCTCCTTTAGTTCTGCCTGGTCTTTTTTTATGCTCTTGAGGCCCTCCCTAAGTTCACTGAGGTTCTCACTAAGTTCATTGAGCATCCTTATAAGCAGTATTTTGAACTCAGCATCTGTTAGGTTGCTTATCTCCATTTCGCTTAGTTTTGTTCCTGGCGTTTTGTTCTGTTCTTTCATTTGGGACCTGTTTCTTTGTCTCCTCATTTTGGCTGCCTCCCTGTGTTTGTTTCTGTGTATTACTTAACGAGTGGTATGGGGCTAGCTGAGACCAGATGCTGCTTGTTTGAAAGAATTTAGGAAAACCTGAAGCAGGATCCAAGACAGGCCAATCCTATGGTTAAGTAACTGGCAACAGCTTAGGTGGGCCTGAATGTTGGGTGGGGCGGGGCCTCAGGGAATCACCAGGGTGAGGCAACCAGTGTAAGCCAGGTTGCTGGAGTCCCAGATACGGTGGCTGTCTGCTGCCCTAGGGAAGGGCTCACCTAAGGAACAAAGGCCTCTGACAGCACGTTTGTCCCAGAGAAAGCCCACTCTCCAGCCCTTGCTCCAATGACAAACAGCTCAGTTCTTCCCTGTATGTTTCTGGTGCCCCTCGAGCTGCCTCCCCTCCAAGCTTAGAGGGAGTGAGTCCGATAAGTCCGTGTGCAGGCCCTTTAAGAGGAGCTGCCTGGGGCTCCAGCTGCCTCAGCCTCCCTGAGCCTCAGTTCCCACTGTGTTTTTCCAGCCAGAAGTTATGGGAACTTCTCTTCCTGGTACTGGAACCCTGAGCGGGGCACCTGGAGTGGGACGGGGACCCCTCAGTCCTCGAGGAGGACCTTCCCAGCCGAGGAATCCTCCTGATTTTTATCCACCACACATGGGTGTGGGACCAGCCTGTCTGCCTCCGCCCCTCCTACCAGCCTCAATATGGCTACTTCTTTAATTCCATAGTTGTAGGACTTCCATTCAGTTTGATTTCAGGCGGTTCTGAATGATGGTTGTTCTGTAGTTTAGTTGTAACTTTGATGTGGTTGTGGGAGGACGCAATACCGCATTTACCTACGCCGCCATCTTGACCGGAAGTTCAAATCTTGTCCATTGTATGTTCTTGACACCACTGTTGTGAATTAGTTGTCCATATAAGTGTGGGTTTATTTTTGGGCTTTCAATTCGCTTTCATTGATTGATCACTGTGTCTGTTTTTCTGCCAATACCATACTATTTTGGTTACTTAGCTTTGTAGTATAGTCTGAAATCAGGGAATGTGTATATACCTCTGGCTTTGTTCTATTTATTTAGCTTTGGCTATTCAAGGTCTTTTACAGTTCCATAATATTTTAGGATTTTTTGTTTGTTTTATTTCTGTGAAAAATGCCATAGGAATTTTAATAGGGATTGCACTGAATCTGTAGATTGCGTTACGTAATATGGACATTTTAACAATGTTAATTCTTCTTATCTATGAGTACTGATTATCTTTCCTTTTTTTTTTTTTTCTTTGCGCGTGTCTTCCTCAATTTCTTTCAACAATTACTTATAGTTTACGGTGTACAGGGCTTTCATCCCCTTGTTTAAATTTATTCCTAGGTATTTTATTCTTTTTGATGCATTTGTAAATGGGTTTGTTTTCATTTGTCTTTCTGTGTTTTTGCCTTAGTGTATAGAAACACAACAGATTTTTGTATACTGATATGGTTCCTAACAACTTCACTGTATTTGTTTATTATTTCTAATAGTTTGTTGGTGGAGTCATTAGGGTTTTCTATTAAGTAAAATCATGTCATCTGCATATAGTGACAGCTTTACTTCTTCCTTTCCAATTTGAATGCCTGACTACTCTATCAAGGACTTCCAATAGTATGTTGAATATTAGTGGTGAGAGTGGGCATCCTTGTTTTGTTCCTGATATCAGATGAAAAGCTTTGATTTTCACTGTTGAGTATGATGCTAGCTGCAGATTTGTCACACATGACATTTATTTTGTTTAGGTACTTTCCTTTACACCCATTTATTAACTTCTTTTTTTATCATAAATTGATGTTGAATTGTTCAGATGATTTTACTACATCTACTGAGATAATTGTATGATTTTTTATATTTTATTTTGTTGACTGATTAGATGTTAAATCATCCTTGCATCCCTGTACTAAATTCCACAAGATCAAGATATATGATCCTTTTAATGTATTGCTGTATTAGGATTGCTAATATTT